ATATATAACTTGTTTCTCCTGTTTACTCTTTCTTCAGTTGATGATCGAGCAGCTTCTCGTTACACAACTGTGTTTATTGTCACAACAGTGGGAAAAAAATGCATGTGTGCAAAGTGGAGATATTTACGTTTTTTTTTCCTTTTGTTTTTCTCTGCAGGGCTTTGTCCGAAGCCGATAAAGAACAGAGATGTTGTGACTCTGCGTTCGTGGAAAGTGACGGACGATGAGTACATTATCGTTAACTTCTCAGTCAAACACCCGGTACGTCACCACCGGTTAGAGGACAAAATAAAAACGTGGTTTTTGCAGCTTTTTGATACTTACAGATGCAGGTCTTGGTGCCATGGTACCGATCTTTACTATGGGACTGTGTGAGAAGTTTATGAGCAAATAGTTTCTTACCTGTTGTAGAATCGAGTTTAATTCTGAGTGATCAGACAGACCGATCTTCGGTTTTCACAAAAATGTTATAGTGGTTCATGCAAACGCTGCATTTGTAATAATTACATTGTTGATGATTTTATATTATATGGTTATTGTGACAGCAGAAGCAGCCAGCTGTAGCACTTCTGGTCCAGCTTCGGTCAGTTCCAGCAGCAATATTATATTATTTCTGCCGGAATAACCGTGTAATGCAAAACTAATGGATGTTTGCATGAACTGCTTTTAAATTTCTGAAATTAGAAAAATGGGTGCAATGGGTAGTCTGATTTCATTCCGACTAGCCGTTAGCTCATCAGTCCAGTCAGAATATCTATAACAGGTAAGATATTGTTTGTTAACAACATGCCCACAGAAGCTGACTTAACCACATTTTTAACACTGGTTTAATGGATTGTGATCATGCTGACGCAGCAGAACTAGTTTTTATAGACGCCTGTTTGTCCTGATTGTTTTTTTGTCTCCATCACAGAAATACCCGCCTGTCAGTCATCTCGTCAGAGCCGTTTCCATCCAGACTGGATATTATATCAAAGCCACGGGACCAAAAAGCTGTATGTTCATCTACCTTTCCCAAGCTGACCCCAAAGGTAAAGAGCATCCCCCCCAACTCCAAGCAACAGTTACTTTAGTTCAGCCTGAAAACGCTCGCTCAGCGTTAACCTGTGTTTTTTGGGGTGGGTTTTAGGTGCTCTTCCGAAGTGGGTCGTGAACAAAGCCTCGCAAGTCCTCGCCCCACGGGTACGTATCATCACACAAGTCAGAATCAGAACACAAAAATAAGAGGCTTCTTTGCAATATTATGGCCCTCATCTGTGGAATGGTCAGCCTGAGAAAGTGAGGGCTGCAGGCTGAAGACACGTCTTTTTAACTGTATTCCTTGAACTCTACCTTTTCTGATCCTTACATTTTTTAATTGTATTGTTTTTGTTGTTGTTTTTCTTTTTCTTTACTTTTTTTTATTATGGGTTTGTTTATTGTGCATATTTTTGCACAGCACCTTGAGCTGCTTTTAGTATAAAGGGTGCTTTAGAAATAAATATAAACTTAAACTTAAACAAGTGCTGCCACAGCTTTTGTTACTGGAGCTGAACACACACAGTCAGTGTCAGCATGTTTGACCATGAGGGTGTGGGTCCATAAGAATGTTGAGGTGTGCACAGCAGGTACACACACACACACACACACACACACACACACACACACACTTGTTCTTGAACCCCGTGGGCACCTTCCATTGACTTCCATTCATGTTTTTTAGACTTTATAACCTAACCCTGACCATATACTCTAAAATTAACCTCACAGAAACTTACCTGACCCTAAAACTAACCTAAACCTTGGTCCTAAATCTAACCCCACACCCGTAATTTGCTTTTGAACCCCTGGGGACCTGGCATTGGTCCCCATGATTCACTTCGGTCCCCATGAGGCTTCTTTTTTGGGAAAATTGTCCCCACATTGTAGGAAAAACCCGTACACACACACACACACACACAGAGAGAGAGAGAGAGACGTGAGAATGAGTTTCATGCACCTTTTAAAATACAATGGTAACCATAGAGACATAAACGAAGTGCCGATCCAGGTATGAGCTGCTGCTGACAAAAGAACATCTCAGTTCGAGGTGTTGCCGGGTCACCCAGCAGAACCTGTTCCCCAGGTTTCAGAGCTTGCGTAAATTAAAACCCAATTAGAGCGATGTTTATTTGCGGGAAACTGCCACTGCTTAAATCAGGGGTGCCCATTTTCTCTGGGAGGGCTGCGGGCCAAATGCAATAATATAATAGATGAAATGCAAATACTTTTTAAATCAAGTTGTTTTATTTATTTGTGATTCAGCTAGCAGCCAGTGTTGTTTTTGTTAATTTTGTGCTAGCCAATGCAGTGCAGAAAATTTGACGTACACTTGAGCAGCAAAGGCTCATGGGACTTTATATAAATTTAAATGTGAGCCTTTGTGGTCATAAAGTGTGCAAATCTAGATCAAGTCAAGTCAACTTCTCTTTAATATCCCCATGGGGCAATTTGTGTCACAGCCAGCAGGAACAAGAACAATCATCAACCACAAATACAGTAAAAAAAAAATAAATAAATAAATAAAATATATAAAAAAACATAAACCATCATGGTATAGGTGTAAAAACTACAAACACACAACAATCAAGAAGCATTTAAAATGGCAATAACAGCAGGTAAAAAGGAATTCTTTAATTCAATTCAAAAATACTTTATTGATCCCAGAGGGAAATTAGGAAATCTGTTGGTTCAACATCTTTTTACAGCAAATCTGCGTCCTGATGGTAAAAGAGAAAACTTTGAAGAGGGGGTGGTTAGGCTCAGCTAAAATTTATATATATAATATATATATAATATGCCTTAATCTAATCTAAATGTCTCTTGTAGTTACTTATATTTTATGTTTAATTTTAATATAATTCAAAGATAAAGTAAGTGCCATGAGTTAAGACTATCTGCTCTACAGTTGTAGTTGTATAGTTGGACCAATGGTTGGGATGACAAAGTGGAAATATAGTGTTTCTACATAAAACAGGAGAATACAACCTAGTAGCCAGGAAAACAACTGGTGGGCCAAATCAAATGGCTTGGCGGGCTAATTTTGGCCCACGGGTCCCACTTTGGGCACCTCTGGCTTAGATAAACAAAAAGACAACTTTTAAAATTATTATTCTGAATAATAGTAGCAGTAAGTACTTCTGCAGGTGGTTTTGGAGTCAGTTGAACTGGTTTCAGTCTATCGGCCTCCTCTCTCGCTCTCTCTCCAGGTGATGAAGAGCGTGCACAGGGCGGGACAGAACTATCTGCAGTGGAAGCAGGAGAACTCTCCCAGCCTGAAGCCGTGGCTCTACCCGGAGCAGAGCACCCTGCCCATGATGAACCCCGCCCAGCTGTCCGTACAGAGAGCCGACTCGCTTGAAAACGTGGACGAGATGTCCAAGGTGGACGCTCTGGACGGCGAGGACAGCAGCTAAAATCACACACAAGCTGGATGGGGGACTGCGGGAAACGGACAGTATAAATATATATATATTTTTTAGAAAAAGACATTTGGACTCTCAACTTGATCAACCCAATACTTGTGTTTTTCCAAAATCGGTGTGCCTTGTTTTAATGTTTTGGATTACACGTTTACAGCTGTCTTAACGAGACCGAAACGAGCACAGATCCAGTCCAGCCGAGTCAGAGGTGGTGGGCTTTTATTGTGACTGTTGGAGCACTACATTACAACAGAAACTCTGTCCAACTTTTTATTTTTAATGTTTAATTTAATGCATCCATGAACACAAAAAGTGGAAACTGACACTTTAAACCTTTTCTTGAAGCTCCTACACGTGCATCAAAGTCACTTTATAAAGTTAATTTGGTCACTAAGAATGGGGGAAAAAAATTAATTTCATGCGATTAGTTCAGAACTTGTGCAATCGAACAAATTCTAAACCCACTCTGACAGAAGGATGTTAAAATCTGAAGTTGTGAATATTTTATAAATTGAGAATCACTTTACCTGAACAATGGGAATGACCAGAAATGGTGTATTTTATTGTATTTATTTATTACTTTAAGCTGAAGAAGTCAGGATGACTCTGCCATGAAGCCCTGCAGGCTGAGATGTAGGTTTTTTTTTTTTTGTCGTTTTAGTTTTTCTCCGATAATTCAAAGAATTGTGCGGGATTGACTTTGACTTTTTTGTATAAATAAACCTGACAACCTTTTTAAAGCCCTGTCACTGACTGTGTTTTTTTCCTCTGTCATTCATTCTCAATAGAAACCAATCAGGTCAGAAGAACCAGTTCCACCACTCCGACCAGTAAAAACCAGTTTGAGTCCAAAGGTTTTTCTAGTTCACAGGAGAAAGGTTACTGGAGTCTGAGACGTTTTAATTAATCATCTTTTCAGTGTCATGTCCTCAAATCACAACAGGTTAAAATAAAATTAAAAAAATGGTTACATTGATTTTTTTTAATGTTTGCTGTATAAAATACAAGTGAAATGCAATGAGCAGGTTTTTATAAAACACTTTAAATACATGATCAGAATTTAAACTTGCAAACAGAAACCCTTTTACAAGCTTCACTAATTTAAGTAGCACATTTTAAAGAGGCAATATTGTGTTTCTTAGGCATATATTTAAATACTATACCATAATAAAGTATCTGTCACCTTTAGCTGTTATTCAAATGCTGTTTTTATGTTTAGATAGAAAATAAACTTGTATTCTCATCACTTCCTCTTCTAAACACCTTGAAATTGGCCTGTTAACTAATTAATGAATAATCCCACTAAAAAGCAAGTAAAACTGATAAAACACTAAAAATATATAAAAAGTGATACACAATTCATACATAATTACAAATATTTGTTAAAAATAATTTAACATTGCTCCTATATTTCATATAGTTGCTGTTTTATATCAAAATTAAGTGTTAAAATGTATTTTTCTAAGAATTTACAGAAACAATAATTAAAAAATAAAAAAGATTATTGTGAAAAAAAACTAGTGTTTCTTGAAAGAATCCACATCACCGCCACCATACATGCCAAAGATTAAAATAAAGATTTTGTGATCTGTTAGCGCTTGGAGTACCGGTATATGATAAGGATGACTCTGACTACCATCCCAACTTTTAGCTCAGTATCTATAAAACTGAGTAATAGATATTTTTGTGTTAGCTAAGAGAGTAGGTGTAGCGGCCATCTTGAACACTGTTGACTTCAAAAGGTTATCAGCTGTAGACGTACATCGGATGATTACTCTCTGAGAGTTGCATCAAAATCCATCTGCTGGTTCAAGAGATATTTTGCTAACAGACCAACAGGAACATTGGTAATGTCAAGAACGTTGGCTAATTATTAAGCTTTAAACATCACTTGACCAGAGAGTATCAGTACAATAATATAAAAATGTGGAGCAAACCTACTGAGTACACAATGGTGCAGCACAGACCTTCAAAGCACAGCCAGTAAGCGCGACTATTTTTAAACACTACAATAGAAAACCTAATTCCCTGACATGGAGGAGTGTGAATGAGACTGACGAGTCATACATTTGTCATCTTGAAGCTGAGACAGAACGAGGAATGCAGTTTGTAGGAGGAGGAGGATGACGTGCGTTTCTCACTGCTGCCCTCTAGTGGACAGTTCTCTCCTTTTGCCTCTGGTAGTCTGACGGAAAAACAGATTTCACTACAGCAGTCCCACCAAATAATCATTTACCAGAAAAATGTAATTCAGTGTCTTCATACATTCATGTTTAATTTTGTTTTCAGTGTTTTGTTATTTTTTTAAGCTGTTCAGTAAAATCAGTTAGATGATTATCTAAGGATGTGGGCGTTAGAAAGTCCTGTCTTCTGCAGACAATGGCCAAATTCTTTAGAGATATGCTTTATTTTTCACACCTCAAACATCAATTTTGTTTTTTGCACATTCTGATCAGAAAAAATACTTCTGTCTTGATGACTATGCATACTCTTTAATACAACAGGGTTGTCTTTTGCTCTCCGATAACATCAAATCAGTTGGTAAAATAGAACAGAGCAAAAACTAATTTTTTTTGTATTTTTATTTAATCCTTTATTTTACCAGGAGAAAAAACTCACTGGGCCTCATGCAAGAACATGTTCGTATTCTTATCCTAAATTCCTCTTACTTTTGTTCGTACAAAGGGTTCGTACGAACATGTCATGTCAGATTCAACAAACTCTTCTATCTTCAGGAAAAGTGTGTAAATGAGCTGCGTAAATTCCACCTGTTCGTATCCAGCTGCTCGTGCACGCGAGAGGAGATTAGCCTAATTACCACCCCAAAAACACCATATAAGTCTATGTTTCCTGCCTCAGATATCAGGAAGTGTCCATTCATGAAAATGACAGCGAAAACTAAAAAGAAAAACTTTACGAGTTCAGAGATTGAAGTCCGTCTGTCAGAGATCCAGAAAAGAAAATCTGTCATTTTTAGCAGGTCAGCTGTGGAATAAAAAGAGCTGCTAAAAGTATAAACAACTGTGTTAAATCATTTTCATTTATTCAGAAGACACAGCGCTGCGCACCGTACACCCCCACCGCGCGCGCCGCGCAGTCGCAGGTGGTCTCAGATGCGGGTTTGAAATAAGCATTTTAAAATGTTTTCAAAATAAGTCTGGCACCTTGGAGAAAACCCAGGACTCGTTGGAGGGATTGTGTATCCCCTCTGGCCTGGGAACGTTTCGGAGTCCCCCAGGACGAGCTGGAGGGTGTCGCTGGGTAGAGCGGGGGTCTCTGTGCTGCTGCCCCCGCACCCGATAGCGGATAAGCCGGCCGGACAATTTATATTGTTAGTCTAAATTATTACATTTAAAATTATAACTCTAATTCAAGCAGAATAGCCTATTGTCAACATAATTATGGAGTGTAATTTATTTTCAACTCAAAATATCTTCAAACTAACGAAATATAAAGTTATTAGGGAAGAAAATCTGCCTGGATAACAGCAGACTGACTTCACGTAAAATATACGACAGGTCTGGACCACTCGTGAATTTTGTTCGTATCTGAAAAAAATCTTAGAATACGAAAACATTGGTGAATGCCACAAATTCTCCTAAATCACTCGTACGCACAATTTAAGAACAAATCTGTGCGTACGAACGGTTCTTGCATGAGGCCCATTGATACTAAAAATCAAATTTACAAGAATGCCCTGGCCAAAACTGGCAACAAAAAACAAGGTTATTTGGTTATAGTTAAATGTAAATGTATTTTTGATCTGATATAGTGAAGAATAACTTACTGTAAGGAAAGAAGCGAACCCTCATCACAATTTCTCGTGCTGTTTTCAGAATCTCTACAGCCTAAGGAGGACAGATGTTATGAGCAAACAGATGTTTCCATGTACTAGAGTGTTTAAATTGTGTCTCAACATACACTCATCACGCCAATGTGCATAATTTTACATATTTAATTAGAGGACAAATACATGTACTGCTGATAAAAGCCTATGGAAACAACATAAATCAAACGTCAAGTCTACGTTCAAAAGTACTGAAAAGTAAAAAAAAATAAAAAAAAGAGTAGTTTTAAATCTTTGGACTTACCCGCGAGTGCTCTATGTCTTGGAAATCCACATCATTCACAGAGAGAACCTGATCTCCCTCCTGCAGCCCTGCTCTATGTGCATCTGAATCTGGGACCACCTGACAACACAGCACACACAAATTATTATTACCAGTAAAATGTGTCTTTGTGGGGGGAAAATGTACATATATTAAAAAAAATAAATAAAAGACAAAAAAAAATACTGAAACTAAATAAAACCTGTGTCAGTAGCACAAACCTTGGAAATAAAGATTCCTAACTGTGATGCTTTTCCCCCTCGGATGTTGAAACCCAGCTGAGCACCAGGAGGCTTCTTCAGCACGATGGTGCGAGGGAGGAACTGGGTGAGCTCATTGTTGTAGTCGGGATGATGAACCCGCTGAAAGCGAAGAAAGAAAAAAAAAGTGTCTGACAAAGATCAACAAAGTTATAAAGACAGTGTAAGCTAGATTCAGTCTAATAAGAATGAATGAGAATAGGCTAATATAAAACATTCTCATAAAGAAATATGGATGATGTCTAATAGTCAAAAACAGATTGTCTTTCACTTTTATATCCCTCTTTATTAAAAAAATAATCATAATCAAAATAATACAATAGCCAAACTGGAACAAACACATTCCTAGGGTCAGTTAAGACTCATCATAAACTTAAAACACGTGTTAGACTGCAGGAAGAAACCAGGTTATCAAAAACACACACACATGCACAAAGAGAACATGAAGTCTTCCACAATTTCTTGTTTAACTTCACACAGAAAAAAAAAATTACTATTTCTTGTATCATGTTGAACCATCACCAATTACCTCTACGCGTGTACATCTCTTTATTTGGAAAAATTAACACACTTTGTCCGTTTTAGGGCAAAGTTGATGCACCAATATTAATATTAGGCTCCAAAATGAAGCAAATCTAATAAAACATCATATTCTTACTAATAAGTAATTCAGTCAAGTGTTTGTGTATTCTGAATCTAAGGTAGTTTTATTACTAATAATCCATTAATGAACTGAGAGATTTCCAATTAGCATGGTGACTTAACGGTGATATATTTTGTGCATTTCTTGTATTGACAGAAACAAATCAAAATGTTGTGTTCACAAGAATAAAAAGAATAAAAAGCTCAAACCAGGACAAGGCCTGTCACATTAACATCAGAGACAACAAAAATCTCAGATACAACTAATTATCTCAACAAGAAAGTATTTTTGAGCCCTGAGTTGTCTTCTATACATTTTTTATTTAGTTATGGACGAGTTTAAAATATATATTGTGATTGTAATGAAATGTGCCATACCTCTTGTGGGGGAATCCATGCCGGTGGGTTTTCATAAGAAGGCAGGAAGACCACTGGAAGCTGATAGTCATCATAAGGAATTTTCTGATCCATTGTTTACATAAACTCCTCCTGGAAGTAAAGCTCAATGTTAAACTTTAGCTTTAGCGCTCTACACCTCAACAACGTTATCAGAATGAACTGCGATTGTAAACAGTGACAACACTGACTTGGCAACACTTTTTGACATAAAGTAAAATAACAGCAAAAAAAAAAAGATAAATTAGCAAGAAAACAGTAAGTAAACAACCCAGAAGCTAGCTACATGCTAACGTTACCTCGGCAAACTACTAACTACCACTGTTTGCTTTAAATTTTTTACGTTTCCATTTTGTCGTGAATAATAAAACTAAACGACAACACGATATGGTTTTTACAACAAATCAATAACAATGGAGGTAAATAAGATTTATCTACCTGACTAAAACACTACCTTCTGTTCAGATTGATGACGTCATTGGTTCAGCTGCTATCGGCTCAGCTCACTACCGCCACCTGCTGCCCGAGAAGTTCTTCCTCTTACTGCAGCTGGAAAAAGAAATCCTCCAAATACCCCTCATCATACCAGTTTTTTTTTCTGTTTCTTTCCTTGTTTGTTTTCAAAAAATAAAAACGCTTTTTCACCCTTTTAAATGTTATACACTGTTTCATTTCAGTCCTCTATCTGCTGATAATAATAAAAAAACTGTAGCTGTTTACACTAATGTTCAGTTTTCTACAACATCTTGTGTCCAAATCTTTTCAAGGCACATGGTCAGCAAGTTATAATTCATCAACTCTCATTTAAATAACTTTGAGTCTTTTTAAAGTAAAATTTTAAACTGAATCATACGTTCTGTTTTTTAAGTTTCCTTCTGCCCTCGAGTCAAATTGCAAGAAGCCTTTCACCTAAGTTTCCTGCTTGTAAAATGTTAAATTAAATTGGTTTACAGAGATACTTATGTTGAACAGCGCTGAGTTCTATTAAGTAGGTTTCAAGTCTCAGCATGTGTGTGGTTTCGAAATACGCGGAAAATAAATCAGTTCTTATGTTTTCTTTCCTTTCCTTTTATTTTAACCATTTTTAATCCAGTTCAGACTGTTGTGACTGACTTGTTTCTTTGCTCCAGTTTCTCCTCCTGACCATTTACATGTTTTTTTATTTAATCTTTGTCTACTACATTCATAAACACCTCGAAAAAAAACATTAAGGGGAGTATTTGTCTTTGCACCAGAGACTTACTCATTACATGTGAACTGGATCCTGGCCCAATAGCCTGCAGATATTAAGATTCTCTGTCGTGATTTAAGGTTTTTGATGGGCTTTTGATTTTGTCCTACCTACATTTGTAAGAACCTGTAAAAGAACAAGAGTGCAAAAAATAAATCTAACCAGGACTGGTCTGAGCACATTTGAACCATTAGAACAGCTGCTCAGAATGACTTCAAACAAAATTCAGCACAAACAGTAAAGAAATTTGTGTTTGGTAGATCATTTCTTTGTTGTAACAATGCTTCTCAACAACAAATCTTATGCTGTTTGAAAGCCTGTGTTTCCCTTACAAATGGTACCACATTTGTAAGGAACATGCATTTGTGGGATGAGCAGAGCTGTGGGTTGCACACATGAGAAATTTGCCAAATCTTCTCTGCCAAACAGCTTCTGCTGTTGCTATTGACACTTGGAGCTTCAGGTCCCCTGTGCTGCAGATCAGGTGCCCACTATTAGATTTTTTTGACAATAAATCTAATAGTGGGCACCTGCCTTTTTACAACTAAGAAATAACCAAACATAAATATTCTTACATTTTGTGCTGAGTTTATTTATCTTCTTAAATCGTGGTTGGTAAGACTGAACTTTGGAGAAAAAAATAACGGCAACAATCAAGTTTTTTTTCTTTATTATAGTTTTTAACTTTCATTATGTCTGCGTACTTTGTGTTTATTGCTAGAAGGAAAGCTGTTCTTATGTCAGTTTTAAAAAAAATCTGAGCTGCCCAAAATGATACAGTATACTGTATATCCAGGATATAAATATTTAAAAAGTTCAGACCTCAGTGTGTCAG